TATGATTTATTTACCCCTACATGTGTAAGATAACAGGAAACATGAGGGCCTACTATGATTTTATTTATCCCTACATGTATAAGATAACATGAAACACGAGGGCCTACTATGATTTTATTTACCCCTACATGTATAAGATAACATGAAACAATACAGTGTACAGTTACATTGTTCAGTGTACAGTTACATTGTTCAGTGTACAGTTACGTTGTACAGTGTACAGTTACATTGTTCAGTGTACAGTTACATTGTACAGTGTACAGTTACATTGTTCAGTGTACAGTTACATTGTTCAGTGTACAGTTACATTGTACAGTGTACAGTTAGATCAGTAATCTTGTGGAATTCTAGAACAAAAATAGAATGCATATTGCACACATGACGGTGCATTTTTTATTGTTTCGTGATATCTTATACATGTAGGGGTAAATAAAATCATAGTAGGCCCTCATGTTTCATGTTATCTTATACATGTAGGGGTAAATAAAATCATAGTAGGCCCTCGCAATGTAACTGTACAATATACAATGTAACTGTACACTGAACAATGTAACTGTACACTGTACAACTGTAACTGTACAATATACAATGTAACTGTACACTGTACAATGTAACTGTACACTGAACAATGTAACTGTACACTGTACAATGTAACTGTACAATGAACAATGTAACTGTACACTGTACAACGTAACTGTACAATATACAATGTAACTGTACACTGTACAACGTAACTGTACAATATACAATGTAACTGTACACTGTACAATGTAACTGTACAATGAACAATGTAACTGTACACTGTACAATGTAACTGTACACTGTAACTGTACACTGTACAATGTAACTGTACAATGAACAATGTAACTGTACACTGTACAATGTAACTGTACACTGTACAATGTAACTGTACACTGAACAATGTAACTGTACACTGTACAATGTAACTGTACAATGAACAATGTAACTGTACACTGTACAATGTAACTGTACAATGAACAATGTAACTGTACACTGTACAACGTAACTGTACAATATACAATGTAACTGTACACTGTACAACGTAATTGTACAATATACAATGTAACTGTACACTGTACAATGTAACTGTACAATGAACAATGTAACTGTACACTGTACAATGTAACTGTACACTGTACAATGTAACTGTACAATGAACAATGTAACTGTACACTGTACAATGTAACTGTAATGTTACAATTATATACTTGTACTGATGAAACATTAATTTTGAAAACAAGATTTGCCTTCAAGAACGACTTATGTCTTATGGAATCGTCTAACTCACCGATCACATTTTTCGTTTCTAATTAAGACCCATCGTTTCGCTGTTGAAACTAGATTCTCCACAGGGCCTAACTGGACTAATTAAGTCAATAAAACATTTATTGAAAGTATTAGCTGCTCGTGTTATAGTGTTATCTAAAGTAATGGTCTTGGTAGTTATGTTGCCTATAGCTTAGCCTTGCCAGCAACCTTTAGAAGTATATATGATTGACTGTTTATTTATTAGGCAGTTTGCAGCCCTGTAAATGAAAACATATAGTAAATATATCTTATAAATATTGAAATGTATTTAAATAACCATTGATAGTATCCAGTATGTAAGTCCATGATATTAAAATACAAAACAAATCTTTCTTGTTAAGATAGGTCTAATCAGCCAAAAGAACTAAAAATGTAGTTATTTGTTCCAGTACGGAAGAAAAAAAAACATGAGAACATTAAAAATACATACAATTAAACCCTACCTTACAATTAGTGAACATTAAAAATATATATAATTGAGACTCTCCCTTTTCCAATGAAAATTAGCACCAATAAATTTTCCTCTTGGTAACGTATATATATATATGCATGTTTCTTTTCCTTTTCATATGTCTATGAATCTTTCACATAATGGGTACTTACAGCAACCGTCGATTCTGTTTCTATGACAACCAGTAACTTTGTCTTCCATTTCCTTTGCCGACCAATTTGCTGTACAGTGGGTGATTCCATTTCTATGACAACGAACAATTGTTCTAAAATGGAGTATTTACTTTAACAGAACACATGCTCCACTTCATTTTATTTCCATGGTGACACCTAATAAGATTGAACTATTCACATAAAGACGCTCGTTTAATTAGCAACTTTCATAATCGGTTAATCGGACAAATTTCTCTATTGTGCTATAAAACTGAAGCTCTGGTGTAATGAAAACATCAATATGAATATATTGTCAGAATTGCTTTAGTTACAGTTAGGTTTCTGTTTCATTTTCACTGAAATATACATTTTTTCCCCTTTACCAAGGACCTGCTGCTTCTAGAAGAACAAGAGGTGAGTCTGTCTCATTATTTATAAAGTAATAAGACAATTGAGATATAAAATGTACATAATATTTTCTTGAAATGCCTATGAAAAGTCTACGGATTAATTTGAAGAAACGTTATTCCGGTAACTCGATTTTAATACATTAGACATTGATGTTCACGGTATTTTTTCTTTGCTGTATCGTTTTACTAAATTCTATTTTGACGTAACTGCAAGAGAAGTTAGGATTTAATGGTCGCCATTTTTTCAGCGGAAACCTATGTTTGAACAGTGTGTGTTTGATCTTGCCAAATTAATGCAATATTTTGGTACATCCAATTCTAACATAACATAATATTTAAGGGAAAACAAGGAACCTGTTGGACCATCAAGGCTGTCCCATCTATTTTAATAATAAAACTCAAATCCAGCCCCGATAATTTAAATATTTATTGGGCTTTCCCTTAAACTCCCTTGAATTTACTGCACATCTGAACTTAACCCATTCCAAAGGCCAACCACCCTTTTAGAAAAATAAAACTGTCTTAGCTGAAGATGACTCCTACTCTGCCAAAATATATAACTATGTCACCCTTGTCGTACCATCGTAATTTAAACATAATTCTATGAAAATGGCCTGACCTCTGACATTTATAGTGAAACGATAAACTCTTTAGACGTATATTTCTCTAAATACAACTCAAAATCCTATTTGCCATACATCTAACAACAGAACATTGTTTAGATGGCTTATGGCTGATCAGCCAGAACAACAAAATCCATTTTCCCCTGTATAACGCTCTTGGGGTTAAATTCAATCAGATTTTTTTTTAAATCTACTAAAGAAGGAGACACTACAATATAGCACTATTTCGCACTATTTTGAGATTCATTTTATGCTGAACGCTATACCTTTCTCGCGCGGTCCCATTCCAAAAGGAAGCATTCAGATCTTGTTATTAATCTGTGAACTTAAACAGTTTTTTTTAATGCCATTAACTACCTAATTGTATGATTTTCAAACATATATTCTATAACGTGTAAAGGTTTCAGAAATGGTAGTCTTTGTGACCGGAAGCAAATAGAAGATAAGTAAAATGTTACTGACCAGTAGCTGTGGTTGTTACTAATGTTATCGTATGGCAGTCTTTGTGACCGGAAGCAAATAGAAGATAATGTTACTGACCAGTAGCTGTGGTTGTTACTAATGTTATCGTATGGCAGTCTTTGTGACCGGAAGCAAATAGAAGATAAGTAAAATGTTACTGACCAGTAGCTGTGGTTGTTACTAATGTTATCGTTATAATTATTATAATGTTTCCTTTAGGGCTCAGTAAATTTTAAATTTGGAGTTATCTACGCTAAAGTTGGACAGATGTCGGACGACGAAATGTTTAGTAATGGTAAGATGGGCTTCATTACATATATTTTAAATGTTTGCTAATGGTAAGGTGGGCTTAATTATATATATTTTTAATGTTCACTAATTGTAAGGTGGGCTTAATTGTATGTATTTTTAATGTTTAGTAACTGTAAGGTGGGCTTAATTATACATATTTTAAATGTTTACTAATGGTAAGGTGGGCTTAATTATATATATTTTAAATGTTTACTAATGGTAAGGTGGGCTTAATTATACATATTTTAAATGTTTACTAATGGTAAGGTGGTTTCCAATGAAAATTAGCAACACTTGTAGTACATTTCCCTCTGGGGAGAGAGGGAAATGTACTACAAGTGTTGCTAATTTTCATTGGAAGGGGAGGGAAGGAAATGTACTACAAGTGTTGCTAATTTTCATTGGAAAGAGGAGAGAGGGAAATGTACTACAAGTGTTGCTAATTTTCATTGGAAAGGGGAGAGAGGGAAATGTACTACAAGCGTTGATAATTTTCATTGGAAAGGGGAGAGAGAGGGAAATGTACTACAAGTGTTGCTAATTTTCATTGGAAAGGGGAGGGAGGGAAATGTACTACAAGTATTGCTAATTTTCATTGGAAAGAGGAGAGAGGGAAATGTACTACAAGTGTTGCTAATTTTCATTGGAAGGGGAAGAGAGGGAAATGTACTACAAGTGTTGCTAATTTTCATTGG